ATAATAATATATTTATTTTATTTTATGTTTATATTATATACTGTGCATATCAATAAAGACATAGTATTAAAAATATAATAGGTATAATTGTAATAGTTGATAAAATAATATTAAAAAGAATATTTGGTGTAGGTATCAACAACTAAAGTACTCCCTCCGTCCTATACATACGGTATTTTAGGAGAGATATAATTAGGAGATAATTAAAAATGTATTAGTAAAAATAATTATTTTATAATATAAATAATTATAAATTAAGATTAAAATAACTAATTAATTTAATGAAAATTAAAAAAAATATTAAAAATTTAAAATGAGATTAAAGTGTGTAATCATTTTCCAAAAAAAAAAAAGTGACATGGTACGTGAGACGGACAGAAACGGCAACGTGGACATGGTATCTGCGACGGAGGGAGTATATTATTGTTACTAAAAGATGTAAAAGATGTGTTTGTTTGGAGGTTTGGATTTTGAATTGAGATTTGAATAGTAAAAATTTTGAATTTAAATAGTTGTATAATGTGATATAAATAGGTGTTGATACGATGTTTTGAATATAAAATTGACTTTTAGTATAATGTAAAAAATAAAAAATAGGTATTTACTTTGATGTTTTTGGAAAAAATAAAATAAAATAAAATAAATAAATAAATAAATAGTGAATTTAAAATCCAATTCCCCAAACAAACACACCTTGCTATATTATTGAAGATTGTATATTTGGCTGATTGGATATGGTATCACTGGAATTATGAAGGTATATTTATAATTGATAAATATATTAAAATAGTTTTATATTAATTGTCATTCTTCAGGAAAATTAAGTTGAATAAATATAAATTGTAGTCACTTTTTAATTTATTTTCTAATTGTAATTAATTTTTTTAAAAAAAAAAAATTCTCGTGTCCGTTATTTATGATATTGTTGTTTTTTCTCAAAAATTTTATACATATTTATTATATATATATATATTATTTCATGTAATGTTGTACAAAAACTTGTTTGCTTTATACAAAAATATACAAAAGGTAACAAAAAAACATACATCCAAATTAAAATTTGTGCTCAAAAAATTGAGCATATGTTTAGGAGATCGAGGAAGTATTTTATTAAAAATTGATTTTACATTTGAAATAGTACATTAATAGTGATTTATATAACATTAAATAATTATTATAACTAAAAAATTTACTAGTTAAAACACAAATTCAAAAATAAAAATAGATATACAATGTTTTGAATGTAAAATATATCAAATTAATTTTTAATATAATATAAAATATAAAAAATTAGATATTTAATTTAATATTTTTTAAAAAAATAATATATAATAAAATTCTGTCAGGATTATTTAACCAAACACACCAATTATTATTATATAGTGGTGGGGAACATATACTTTCAAAAAAAAATTCTCTTTATCAGTCAAATTTATTGACACATTTTTTCTTTTAAATTACAAGAAAAATGTCCATAAATTTGACGGATGAAAAGAAAAATAAATAGTCTATTAAAATTACACATTAATCAACATTAAATTATAAATATAAGAGGGTTAACATAACGTCAATGCATAAACTTGTTTCTAAAATAATTTCAAAATATAAAATAAGTTATGGAATAGATTATTATAATATAAAATCTCAACGTGGATATAATTTTTTTTATGATATGGAACACGCAATCACTGTTTTTCGAGTTTGATCTGAGTAATATTCGATTGAATTTAATAGTCTACAAACTAAATATGAGAAGATAAGTCATACTAGACGATCGTGTATGATAGGCAATACCTGGAGGTGGTGATACGATCCCTTGACAATACATTAAGAACCTTTAGGTTAAAAAATACTATTTGTTAAAGAACACTTACAAAGAAAAATTTGGAGCTTAATAAATGAATGCTTATGAAACAATAAATTTTCACTTTCAATTGATGGATTTGATATTATATAAAGAAACTTAGAACATGATAACACCGAAATATTTATAAGAACAATACACAACCTAAAATAAGGACAATGTAGTGGAAATTAAGAAATCAATACAAGAATATTTGATTATCTAATTCGATCAAAATGATCTAGAGCGACCAAACCAGATATTTGCACTAGTATAAATTATATATAATGAATCAAGTATATATAGAAGTGTAAACCAAACCCTAGAACCGGGCCTAAAATAGGCCAGTAGGAGAAAATAGATTATGACCTACAACTTAGGAAAGTAACAAACAAACTAGTTTAGCTTGAACTTGAACTTCAAAACACATCAGAAAATATAGATACAATTAAGAAAAAGTTAAGAATGAAATGCACGTTGAGTATTAATAGTCTAAGTAATCAACAAAGTGGTATGTGAAAAAATTCATATATTCAATCAAGGAAAAAAGCGTATAACTAAAAATGTGCATATACATAAAAGTCTTTAATATAAAGTGGACAATTATCAAATTCAAGCAAGTCACATAATTGCATGACAAATAGCATAACATCTGTTGGATATGAGTCACCGATCGAATAAGAGGTCCAATGCTTCCGTGTCTTTTGCACTGCAGAATTGATAAACATATCGACATAAACAGAACTTAACAATATGTTTTTGCATGGTTGAAACTGCAGCGTGTTAATCAAGCACTAGTATATGGTGAACTTAACACTCGATTTGTTAACCTAGTTCGATATTTAAACCTACGTCTGGGGATACCAATTCAGGAATCGTTCACTAAATCAAACACTTGATTTACACTATTCAAGACACCACACAAAACAACTCAACCTAACATCTACCCAAACTCCTTCTTTGTTTTACAAACACAGATGGACTAACTGTCACAACGTAATAATAATTTCAACAAACATACCATCAAAGTTAAGAGTATAGTTGCTTCCATGTTGGTTACCTCCTCTGCTTCCAACTTCATTTTCTCTTTCTTCTTCACAGCATCAAAACGCCATTAAAGCTCCTCTCAACTCTTTGAAGTGACGAAAGAAAATATTGCTCAAGAAGCATATGTATCTCACATGATTCACTCACTTCACAACAAAACGAAACATACATCTTGCACACTCAAAAAGACAAAATGGACTGTTTGTGTGTTTGGGGAGGTGTATACGGGACATTTAATGTCATACAGGCTGAGTGCAATACACAATTGTCTTCTCCTACATCTTCTCTATATAAAATAAGTTGATTTGGTCCCATAATGGATGACTTGGTGGTGTAGGGGTTAGATATGTGACCGTGAGGTCATGGGTTCAAATCCCCGACCCCTCAAGTTACCTGCCACATATGGTTCGCCTAGTGTGACATGCCTGTCGGATCTAGTTTGTAGAGTATTAAATTCGGTCGGGGGTTTACCCAGTGTACACTTTTGGGTAGCAGTCCAATTTTATTTTGTTATGCAGTAGTAACAACAGACCTATAACTTGCTTTATATGCCAAAATTAGCAACAAAAAGGATTTGACTTTTTGCATAAAACATCATTAATGCATTTACCTATTGGAAAAACAATTTCAAAATGATAAGAATAAATTATTCAGTAGATCATTACAATAAATTTCCATTTAAACATCCACTAAGGATACAAAGAAAAAAAAAAAAAAGAAAAAAAAAAAGATAGAGGTATAAAAAAATGGTTAAATAATATACAAAAACCCCACATCATCCAGGGTCAAATAATACAAATAAGATTGAAGAAAACAATGGCTTTGTTTTTCAAACAAATAATAAAAATAAGATTGTGGCAGGTCACATGATCCCACAGTTATAAGTTTTTCTTTATTTAGATTATTTAACTAAATTTTTTTATTGAATTAATTAAAAATTTAAGAAAAAGGAGAAAATTAATTTAACTTGGCCAAGGAATTCAGGCCTGATTCAAAATTGGGTCCGATCACACCGGCACAAAAAATGAAATCGGTTCGAAGTCACCCCTAAATATATAACTATAAAATTAATGTTCATCATGCTATCTCACCACTATATATTATCATCTCATCAAAAATTAATAGTTAATATAAAATATTATTTTTATATTATTTTCGTAAAAAATATATCTCAAGTCAAAGCACTAAACAAACAAACCCAATGTTTCCTTTTTAAACTATGGTTCAAATTAAAATCTAAGAACCACAATACAAAATTAAATACTATTAAACAAACCCTAAGTATTTTCAATCGAGTTTAAGAAAATTGTGTATGAAAGAAAAGTTGTAATTAAATTGTATTTAAATAAAAAAATAATAATAAACAAGTTTTGAGATACATATGAAATATTAGCAAAAGAGATGCATAAAGGAGGTAGTATAAAATTTTTTATATAAAATACTTTGGTTGTGTTTCTTAATGGAATTTTTACTCAATATTTTTACTATTCAGATTTATTTTTCTTAAAAAAATATTAAATAAAAAAATTATTTTTTTCTTTTATATTATAATATAGATTTATTTTACATTAAAAACATTATATCAACTCTCTATTTATATTAAATAAGGGACTATTCAAATTTAACTTTTTAATTTTAAAAAATCCAAATTCATAAACGAACATAACCTTTGACATTTATTTTGATGTTACTTGGGCCGTATAGGCTTATTAGCTCTCAACATGGGCCCAAATTATTGTGCCTAAAATGCCAACTTATTTAAATTAGGCCTTGTAAATACGGCCCAATGGGCTTACAACAAAGACACGTAAGGTGCTCGCTTTACCACGTTGCCTTTTAAGAAAAGAAAAAGGCCATAATTATTATCATTATTATTATTATTATTATTGTATTAATAATACCTACCGCAAAAATTTATTTATCAAATTGCTGAACTTACTTTTCTCACCCCAAAAAGTTGCTTACTTTTAAAATACTGATTAATAAATAAATACTCAATTATTTTTGGGGTCACCCGCCACCAGCCAATCCGATGCGAGACCATTGACATTTTAATAATAATAATAATAATAATAATAATAATGTCGTGCATTCTAATTTAACCATTCAATAATACAAATAAATAATAGGAGTATAATATTAAAATATTCAAATTTGGAAAGAAGAAATTTCACTCCTAAATATTTCATAATTATGATTACGAAATGACGATAATACCCCCGCCTATCAATCAAATTTACAAACAAGAGACAAATCGCGCATCGCCACCACAAACCCTAATCCCCAAATCAATTTTCAATCCCTTTCAAACCTTGAGGATTTTCGCCGCTCTGATCACCGGATTCTCCCTGGCGATGGCTTCCCGGCCGGCCGCCTTGTAATCGTAGCTGCACTCGTGCCGATCTGAGTACCTGTGCTCGGAGCAGAACACCTCGCCGCATCTGCACCGGAACCCGATCAACCCGACCCGCTTCCTGCATCCGGATCCGGAGCACCGGTTCACCTCTCTCGGCCTCTTCAGCGTCGCCGCCGTTCGAACCGCCGCAGCATCTTCCCCGGCGGGACTCGCCGAGGCCGCCCGTGGGTCGCACGCGCCAGACGCCTTCAGATCTGAGGCCTCCGGCGGCGATCTGGCGGCCGGAATCTGCTGCTGCAGCGCAGGCGAGGTAATCCCCTGCGGCGGAGTGCAGATCGGCAAGGTCTCCGGCGGCTTGAGCTCGGTCTGGTCCTTGTCTCTCTTCTGCGCCATTTACGTCTGAAGCGCACGCGAGGACGGGAGAAATGCGTATCGCGTGGGAAAAAAAGTTTTGGAACAAAATAGCGAAGAAGAACGAATGAACCCAACCTGTGGGTTGTATTTATTTAGTCGCCATAAATTTTTGGTAACCGTGAACATTGTGTGAAATGACAGAATTGCCCCCGCCACCTTTCCTTTTCTGAATAACTGGGTAATAAGGTTAGGTTCTGTTTGTTTTATTACTTGTTCCCAATTTGCATTATGCTACAAACCTCTTCTTCTTTTTTTTTTTTTGTTTTTTTTTTTCATTCGTACATAATAAAGTATTTTTTTTTTTATTTTAATCTTTCCTATAAAAAAATATATTTTTTCTTTTTTAATAAATATAATATCTAATTAATATTACAAATATCCTTACAACTTCTAATATATTACATAAATACCATTACTTTTATATCACATGATACTAATAAGGTCATTTTAATTATTTTTACTTTATTCCTACTATATTTCAGTATAATACTAATATTTCTAAAACTCAATACAAAAAGCAAATTGATATATAGTTATGGGACGGAGAGAGTATTTTTATTTTTTATTTTTTAAGTTACTCCTTATGTTCTATATTTATTTATCCATTAACTTTTTTCATAGAATTTTAAAAATATTAGTATTATATTTGAATGTAATATAAATAAAAGTAAAATGATTAAATTAACTTTATTAGTAGTGTATGATATAAATATAATGATATTTGTATAATATATTATAAATTAGAAGAGTATTTATAATGTTAGGTAGATAATACAATAACTAAAAAAAAATAGATATTTTGTTATGGGGCGGAACAAATAAAAAAAAATGAATAGATTCTTAATGATGTATTTATATAAAATCAAATCACTATTATATTCAAAACATCACATCAATACATATTTATATCAAATCAAACAACTATTTAAATTCAAAATTATGCTAGTCAAAATCAAAAGTCAAAATATTTGGGGGATTGGATTGGATTTACACTATTCATCCCATTTTTTTCCCCAAAAAAATCAAATCAAACACTTATTTTTCATTTTTTGATATTATACTAAAAATCAATTTTACATTAAAACATCACATCAATACCTATTTATATCACATCATACAACTATTCAAATTCAAAATTTTAAATATTCAAATCCCACCTCAAAATTCAAACACCAAACAAACGGACCCCTAATGTATTAATATGAGTTCCGCCGTATCTTTCATTTTAACAAATAAATCTTTGAAAGTAGTAGAAAAAAAAAATTATTTATTGACTGTTATTATTATTTAAATAATAAAATAAAATCCCACGCAGATGTCTCATTCTTCCTTTTATTCGTCTCACAAAATATAGTTACTTTTAGGGTGTGTTTGTTTGAGGGATTTATTTCGATTTTCACTATTCATCCTATTTTTTCCCCTCAAAAATATCAAATCAAACACCTATTTTTTATTTTTTATATTATACTAAAAATCAATTTTACATTCAAAACATCACATCAAACCCTATTTATATCACATCATACAACTATTCAAATTCAAAATTTTTACTATTCAAATCCCAATCCAAAATCCAAACCCCCAAACAAACACACCCTTAAATTTACTCTTTTAAACATATTTAATAAATATAAATTAATTTAATTATATTTCTAATTTCTTACCCACAGAGTTACTCAAAACTCCTATATTTTTATATTTTTTTTAATAAATAAATATTTTTATATATATTTAAAATTTATTATTTTTTATAAAATTAGTTTTAAATTAATTATAAATAAATATATATATATTTTCTATTTATTTTTATTATATAAAATTTTATTATCTAAAAAATAATATACATGTTGCATATATTTTATTGAGATATAATCTTAAAAATATTTAAAATATTATACGGTAGTCCCGTATTTGACCTCATGTATCATTTTAGGATTTTAAATTAATACAATTGAAAAATAGTTTCGCAAGTAAAAACTTTTCGCTAAAATAGTCCTTCGGTGCTGGATTCGTCACGCTGGCCTATCGTTACTGACGTAGCTGACATATCATTGCTACATAAATGTCACGTTAGCGACACGTGATGATTTTTTTTATATTTTACAAAATATTTTGATAAATTATTTTTTTAGTATGATGTCTGATTACTTTTAGCATTTTAGGACTTTAAATGGACTTCACTTCAAACTAGCCTCGTAACTAAACAATTTTAAGTGAAAAGGTCCTTCGACGTGTCGTTGAAGTGGCGATGACATGTTAGTTGCGCCAGCGTCACATTAGCAACGACGAGCCAACGTAGCAAGTCCAGCACCGAATGACCATTTTAGTGAAAAAAATTTTACTTGCATGACTTTTTGTAGACAAAATTCATTTAGAATTCTAAAATGATAAAAGAATGTCACATAAAAAAAAATAAAAAAAAAAGAATAATTTACCCTATTTTAATTTACGTGTCAAAAGAAAACATGAAATTTAACCATGACAAATAAAGTATATATATATATTATGATATTAATGGATAAGTATATCATTTTCTTTGTTAGGTAAACATACTCAATATATTTTATAAATAATTACTTTTGATTGTAGTAAATAAAAAACAAAACTTAAAAAAGAATGTTCTATTTTGTTTCTTGTTTTGTATTTAAAATATTTTTGATAAAGATATTACTATTTATAATTGATTGTATTTTGGCAAGTCTTTAGTGCTGATAATAAAAATATGTTAATGAAAGATAAGAGAGGTCGAAAATTGAATGCAATGCAGTTGGGTAAATTATTTTTTAAATTTTGCATTCTAACTCTTATTATTATTTTAGGATTCTAAATAAATTTTACATAAAAATTGTTCTGCAATTAAATTTTTAATTTTTTTTCTTAAAAATAGTCACCCGTCAGGGAAATTGACACGTCATCATCGATGATGTGGCTCTTTGAAGCTATGACGATATGAGATGTCACTCTTATCGAAGATAAAAAATTGTTTTATTTTTGGATTAAAACATCAGTTACCGAAGGCACTACTAAAGTCCATCTAATTTTCGAAAATAAAATTCATTCTCGACTCGATTTCACGGTACTTTTATTTTTTACAATATTCAATTAAACGAACTAAAAAAAAAACTATATAATACTTTTTTAATATTTATAGGAATCGCATAAAATAAAAATAAAAAATAAAAAATAAAAAGTTGGGTGAAAATAACCAAACAAACAAACATGCCCGTATTGTTAGCAATGCAAAGTATTTCAAGCATTTTTGGAATGTAGATGTAGCGTTGAAGTTATATTTGAAATTGCAAATAATAAAAATTTGAATTGAATAAATATTTAATTTTATTTAAATATATGTTAAATGTAAATTCTTTTATATAAAAATTAATTATAAATATAATAAAAAATTAAGTATTTAAATTGATTTTTTTTTAAAAAAAATAATAATATATTTGCAACATTTGAGATCTTTTAGAATATTTTAAAAGTACATGATATTTAATATTTGAAATATTGTTTCTTACAATTATTTTATTATAAAAATTAAAAAAATAACGTGCAATTAATTTATCACTTTCATTAGAGTTTATTTGTTCAACTAATTTCATATCGATACGATTTTTAATATATGATGTATATTTTATACTTTAATTAAAAAAAATTAATATTTAATATAAAATATTATTTTTGTATTAATGATACAATTCTCTATAATTTATATTTAAAAAAATAGTTAGTTAGTGAAAATAATTAAAAAATAATTTATATTTATACCAAATAGGTACTTTGGGGTTTTATAATAAATTAAAAAATAATAATATTTGATTAGTCACTGAAAATGTGTAATAGTTTTTGACATTTTGGTCATTTGACTTTATGTAATAGATACTCTTTTGTGTGATATGGGAACCCGCAGTCGAACCTAATACCCTGCAAATCAGACCCGACGAAAAAATCATATTAGGCGAACCATATGTGGCAGATGACGTGAGGTGTCGGAAGTTTGAACCCATGACCTCATAATCACAAGTCCAACCTCTACGTTACCGAATCATCCCTTACAGGATAATTTGAAATTATTTATAATATACAGTGATTGGGTATATATATATAAAAGAAAATAATTTAATTTAATAAGCCTACCTGAACATATTATAAAATTTCATTCAATATCGTGTTTGTTGCTGGGGAGACATACGTATGTCATCCAACCTAAAATAGTAAGTATATATAATTATGGTCTGTTTGGTTTATAATTCAAATCAATTATTTCATTATTTAACTCATGTTTTTAGTAATATCTTTGTCCAAAAAAAAAAAAAATATCATTGATTTTCTCTGTGTAAAATTTTGAATATATTGATTATTATAATAATTTGCAATACAAATTAAAAAAAAAAAATTCTATTAATTTCTTATAATATAAAATATATTAATATTTTTGAAATAAATTACTGTATATAGATGTAAAAGTATTTTTAATATTAAATATAATAACGTAAAAAATAAATGATATTTTTTTATGAGAAAAAAGTGATATACTTTTTTTTTTTAATCATACAATATAAAATTAAAATGCTATTTAAATTCAAATACAAACCAAATTATAATAAAATTAATAAATTTTAGTTTGAATTAGACCAAATTTGATAAATATAAATAAATAAATATATAAAATTCAATTGGACAAAAATTGATAATTGCGATATATAATAGGATTAAAAATAATTTTTTTATCTTATTCTTATTATAATAGAAAATTTATACTTTTGAGTGAGACGAACGAAAATAATAAAATAAATACATTGACTTGAGAGGAAGGGACTAGTACTTAGCGATTTCAAATAATACCGAAATGAATATTACAATACATAATTGATGTTGTTGAAACTTGTTATCTTGTAAAAATTTCAAAATATAATGTCTTGAAAAATAAATTTATCCGAATGTAAATAGATTATGTATTAAAAAATGGGTTGTAGTTTGTATTTGATCTTGATTGATGTTTGCAGGATGGTGCGATTAACGAACAGACTTCAATAGACAGATGCAACCAAGCCCAATCAAACA